TAGAGGCTGCTATTGTTCTACTAAAGAATGGAGCCAACAAGGACATGCAGAACAACAAGGTTAAAAAATATTTAAACTCCTTCTCTTAATGTTTGCTATTGACCCCTTTCCATCACCATATCACTCATGAGGGATGTAGGAAGTGAAAGACAGATTGAATCTTGTTCGAATCTAGATAATTTGTCAGTGAACGTAGCACATCTGGTTGGGGCTCATAGATGGAAATAGCTAGCTTAGAAACCGACCCGTACCTCCTCCCTCCTGACGTTTGGATGAAACTGCCAACTTTGCCTGAATTCACACCACATGATTTATATCGCCATAAACTGCATTTGCCCTTAAACCAGAGCATGATTGAAAATGTACTAAAGTCTTGATCCTTACTATGACTAAACACTTACCTTCTCCAAAAAGAAATATCATACTTACTTATAAAGTAGATGACCATTAGACTTCTTACCTTGTAAGATCCATGCAAATCCTCACAGGCTAACAGTTATTATGATTGACAGCTGCTATGCATCGCTGCCATATCTTTCCTCATTAAAGTTTTACAATAAAATGATAAGTTTGGTTTGCATCCTTGTCTGTTTGTGCAGCCAAACGCACATTTTTAAAGTGAAATTAACTAAATAGAAGCAATATTAGGGAACGCACAAGTTTTTATGATGACGGGCCATGTTCTCGCTAAAGGCTCAATAGAGCAGTATTCTTTCAGCGGCTATTGGCTCATTTAACACGCTGTCTCCTTCATGCTTCAGGAGGAAACTCCTCTGTTCCTGGCTGCCAGAGAAGGAAGCTATGAAACTGCCAAGGTCTTACTGGATCATTTCTCTAATCGAGAAATAACAGACCACATGGACCGGCTCCCCAGGGACATTGCACAGGAACGGATGCACCATGACATCGTGAGGCTGCTGGACGAGTACAACCTGGTACGAAGCCCCCCCATGCACGGAGGCTCACTGAGCAGCGCCCTGTCCTCCCCGCTCTGCTCACCCAGCGGCTTTCTGGGCGGCATGAAGCAGCCGCAGCCTCAAAGTCAAGGCCAGGGGAAGAAAACCCGCAAGCCCAGTCACAAGGGGATTGGCTGCAAAGACAGCAAAGACATGAAGGTGAAGAAGAAGAACTCTCAGGACGGGAAGTCCGGGACGCTCCTGGACAGCTCGGCTGTCCTGTCACCCGTAGACTCGCTGGAGTCTCCTCACGGTTACGTTTCTGATGTGGCGTCGCCACCGATGATGACCTCCCCATTCCAACAGTCACCGTCTGTGTCTCTGAACCACCTGCAGGGGATGGCGGACCCCCACCTGGCCGTGAACCACATGGTGATGCCCAACAAGCAGGAGCTGGCCCGAATGCAGTTCGACCCGCTGCCTCCCCGCCTCACCCACCTGCCGGTGTCCGGCTCGGCCGCGCAGGGCGCCATGGGTGGCCAGTGCGACTGGCTGGCCAGGATGCACAGCGGCATGAACCAGGCGGGGCAGTTCAACCCTCTGAGAGCGCCCCCCGGAGGCCAAAACGGCCTGCACCAGGGGATGATCGCAGCGCCGCTTCACAACGGCCACCCCAACTCCAGTCTGTCGCAGATGATGACCTACCAGGGCCTGCAGAACACCCGACTGGGTCCGCAGACCCACATGATGCAGCAGATGCAGAACCTGCAGCAGCTACATCAGCAGCACCAGAACTCTAACCCGACCAGCAGTCAGAACTTCATCAGCGGGGACCTCAGTTCCCCCGAGCTTCAGCAGGGGGCGGCCAACTCCAGCATGCCCATACACACCATCCTCCCTCAGGAGAGCCAGATCATGCCCAGCACCCAGTTCCTAACTCCCCCCTCCCAGCACAGCTACTCCGGCCCAATGGACAACACCCCCAACCATCAGGTCCAGGTGCCGGACCACCCCTTCCTGACACCGTCCCCCGGATCCCCCGACCAGTGGTCCAGCTCGTCCCCCCACTCCAACATGTCCGACTGGTCAGAGGGCATTTCCAGCCCACCGACGAGCATGCAGTCCCAGATCGGACACATATCAGAACAGTTCAAGTAGGAAGCTGAGAGTCTCCGCACCCCAGAGGATGAGCTGCTGTACATATTTTTTATTTTGTATTAAGAAAAAAAATCAAAAAAAGCACTCGAAAAAGGAAATCAAGCTGTAATCGAGATGTAGGACTTTTATAAATTTTTCTACTAACAGCAACACATGTGCTTCATTTAATGTTGTTGTTTTTTTTATTTATTAAGGTTGTATTTATGCTTATTTCACTGCAAAAACACAAAAACTCTTACCAAATATTTTTGGTTTAGATTTTAATGCAAATATCTTATTACATTTGAAATAAGACAAAACTAACTAACAAGAAACTTTTCAGCAAAAGAACTTATTTTAAGCTAATAATTTGTATTATTGCTGAAAAATTACTAGTTCCACTGGCCGATTATTTCTCTTATAATATGAAAAAAATGTTTAATAATCAGCCAGTGAACTAATATTTGTTCTTCAATATTGTTTATTGTTTAGGATCCTAATTAACTTAGCAGCTACTCTTCCTGAGATTGATCATACAGCAATAAAAAAATAAAAAAACAAGACTATATATTTTAAGTGAAGAATGTTGTCTTCGTTGCTGTAAAATTACTTTTAAGTTAGTTTTGCATCATTTCAAGTGTACTAAGATATTGGCACTAGAATTAAATTAAAAATAATTGGTAGTATTTTGTGTTTTTACAGTGTTCCTGTTGTGGTTTCGGGTCATACGCAGGACAGAGAAAGTCCTTTAGAGACACTTTTTTCTTTTAGAGTTTGCTGTCTGCAAGATACACACTGGGTATTTATTTCCCTCAACACTCTTAGTCTTTGTCCTTTTTCTTCTGTTTATATTTTGTATAATCCTGTTTATAATAAAAATTGTGATTAAGCTAGAGCACATTTTAAGTTTCAGTGTTATTTCAGTTTGAAAGTGTGAGGAAATTCCTGTGAAGGCATCCAAAACATCCAGTAAGTCGTAGTGACGCTCTCTAGAGTTCTGTACATTTTGTTAAATCGACGATGCAGCGATATGCTGTGCCTTTAAAATTTGCATTATTGTGTTTTCTTGTGGTGGGGAGGTGACATGTTTTACGGCCATCTTGGAGATTGGTGGTTAACTAACGCAGGCCTGAGTTGTTGTGAGTCCTGTGGTTTTTGGAGAACTGGCCTGTTGGCCACGATGTTTGTTGTCCAGAGGGAACAGGGAAATAAATTTCCTTCTCCCTCCGATTAGTTTGAGCCTATGGCTGTGTTGTTTCTTCTGTAAATATGCTTTGCATTTCCCTCGTAAACAAGATTTTGTTTAAGAAATCTTCAGTCTTCAGCATGCATTGGATTGATCCTGCACTGGTCAAAACTCTCTAAAATGTAAAACAGATCAGATTATATATTTTCTATTTTTCTGGCCCAAAGGCACAAATCAATTTGAAGTATACACAAATGAATGAAATATATTGTTTTCACAAAAATGAAGAAAAAATACATAAACATTGAGGTTTTATAAATTTATATTTATTTACTGCTCTGTAACACAAAACCTCACTGAGAAAACAATTTATGTACATGCAGAAATGTTTTTTTAAGCACTGCCAACTAAGTTCTCAGTTGTATCCACTTAAATATTATGTGAGATGCACTCTGTTTTGATTTTTGAAATATTATTAGGAAAAATAATATGTTAGATTGTTGTAGCATTTTTATATTTGTTTACTTCCTCTGTAAAGTTATCATTCGCATTAAATGTATTTTTGCTGTTTATTTTCATTCTGTATAAAAGTTACCTGCTATAATAAAGAACACGTTGGTGTCTTAATCTCATTAAAACGCCTCTTTTGTTCATTAAAGATTATATTGCCGAATATTTGAGATTAATTTTATGTTTTCAATGAACAGCTAAATAATTTAAACATCTTTCAGCCTGTCGCCATCTAGTGGTGAATTTGAGTAACGTTCTTATTTATGCATCACAATGACTACAAGTAAATTAGTAAAATCTTAAGTTTATTCCAGCCACAATTAGCTAATCAACTAAATAGTTAACATTGTTGCAACCCATCTTTATTTACAAATATTGTATAAAGTTAAGATCCTGAAGAGAACTAACTTTAGCACTACTGGCTTAATTTTTAATGTTTCATTTTGCTCTAAATACCTGGCAGATTAACCTGATTTTTTAAAAACTATTTGAAATTGCTAGACAAAACGAGGGCATTTTCAAATTAATTTCTAAATTTTTTGAGAAAATTCAGAAATTTTTGAATGTTGAAATTCGAAAATGTTTGACTTTCAATTATTTTGAAAGATTTTCGACCTCCCGAAATTCAGAAATCTGTTTTTTATCCCTCGAAAATTACTTCGAGGAATCTAAAATGTTCAGAGTTTTTAGTGGAAATTTACAGCTCAATGGCCCTTATTCTCCATTGCAGCTCAAGTTTCAAATAAAGCGCATATATTCTGGAAAATATGAGGGTTTTTAAAACAGATTTTTGACTTTTAGAACTCAAAAATCCCGAGTTTTTTTTCCCCAGAAACGGTCTGAAATTAATCTAAATATTTTGGAATTTTATGACTTTTCAAACTCTGAAATTTCCAGTTTTTACCTATAAAATCTTAAAAATGTATCTAAAGATTTTATTTTCCCTCTATTTTCTCAATTTCTTGTATAAAATCTAAAATAAAGAGCCAATAAAACCTGGAAAAAAACGAAAAAACAAAAGCATATTTTAGGAGTTTTCTTAAAATTTTTTGCAAGCACAGAAATATTCTTGTCTTTTCTAGATTTTTGGGGGATAAAAATGTACTTTTTTCTGTCTACAATGGCCCTAGTACGCCGTCGTCTTTGGCATCACATAACGTCTTCAGTAAAATGTCTGCGTGCTAAACTAGTTTGGCCCGTTTTCCTGCTCCGTTTACGCGGGACAAGCCAAACCAACTCCAACTCCCAGAATGCCCCGCCGCGAGTACAGTTGCAGTTCACAGTTCACAGTTCACAACATTACAGTAAAAATAGGATATTCGCTGCCTGCCGCTTATGTGCTAAACGGCAAAACCCGGCAACTTGGCGACTGGAGAACGCGTCACTCGATTCCCACCACTCCGACAACCGGGCCGGGACCCCGAAAAATGGGTCTGAGCTGAGCGGTGCACCCGTCCTTTCTTTCCTGTGTTGTCGTCGGATTTACAAGAGACGGCTGGCTGGCTGGCTGGTTGGTGCTAACGCTAGCACGCTAGCTCTCCGAGAAGAGCAGACACGGCAACAACGGCTGTCCGCCTGCCACCGTCCCCGGGCTGGTTCTCTCCGCCGCCGCAGCAGCAGCAGCAGCAGCAGCTATGTTCGTGCAGGAGGAGAAGATATTCGCCGGCAAAGTGTTGAAAATACACATCTGCACGATGGACGGCACAGAGTGGCTGGAGGAGGTCACGGAAGACACCACTGTTGAAAAACTGAAGGAGAGGTGCTTGAAACATGTAGGTTTTTTTTAAAAGTGGGGGGTGTTTGTGTCTTCCTCGACATTTTTTTGTCCTGTCACTCCTGCTGTTATGTGCCAGCCATTCCCTCTTTAAACTGTCAGTGTCTCTGGCTTTGTATTTATAGTAACTGGGTAGACTCTGCTATTTATAATTTAGCAGGTTGACTGCCCCTCTTCAGCTAACTAACACTGTGGCCCTTTTTTCTGTCCCCAGTCAGAGAGACGTGCTGCTTCTTAGCCTTTCTATTATTATACAGCTCACCCCCTCTCTCCTTTTTTGGCCTTTTAACGTGAAACCTCACGTTAAAAGGTGAGTTAACTTGAACGCTTCTGAATTAACTTTATTACAGTGTTTATGTTTAGTTTTCTCATCAAAGTTTGATTATTTCTACTATACCCAAACTTCATTCATTCATTTATTTCAATTACTCAAAAGTATTAAATTATTTCTAGTCTTAATCAATGTTTTTGTGAATCATATGAGTCCCAATAGAATTTGTGTATCTATATATGTTTTTTTACATCGGATTGAGCAAAGCTGCCAGTTTTACTGTTTTAGACAATGAAATTAAAACTAAAATTTGTAATATTATCTCCTCGATTTTATCAAAACAAACAGCAATAATTTGTTTTGTCACAATATTTTGTGGCACTATTTTTATAGCAATAAAAATTATAAGAAATAATGTATTCTTTTTTAGGTAACTGATTATAATTCTGATTTTAATCACAGATACTTCTTGAAATATTCACAAAAGAAGTATAGATTTTTTAAAATATCTGATCTGCACAAATATTTTAAAATGTATCAATATTTATCACTACTTTTGTTTTATTGTGGAGAAGCGAGTAACACTAACTATCCCAACAGTTAATCAGTTTTGAACATAATTAACTTCAGTCAAAATTCTTATCACAATAAGAAATTTAATGCATAACTGCCCACCTCTGATTAATACTTCAGCTAAATAAAAAAACTATTATTTATCAGCATTGTAATAATCTGCACAATGCTGTAAAAAAGTATTTATACTGATTTTCCTTTTTTCCACACTTAAATCAATGTTTCAGATCATCTAATATCCAACAAAGCAGTTTTTAAATGATTAAATAACTGAGGGAAAATTATCCACATCAATCTTGCCTTACCTAAGTAGAAATCTGAATAAATAGTTTTAAAATTATTCTTTTACTTCTGAATGTTTGAATTTCAGTTCACTCTTCTCTGAAGCTTAAGCTACGTGGTGTGAGTTGGTGTTCTTTGATAATCTTATGAGCTTATTATGAAACATTTTCTTTGAGGGTTTTCTGTTAGTTTAATTAAATTAGATTTAATTGAACAACTTTTCTTTTTCCTAAGGGGAAGTTGAAAGTCTCAGTGAAGCAGCCTAAACGTAATGCCGTCTCTATGAACGCAACAGTTAACATGCATTCAAGTCCCTTCATAAACGTCATGGTTCCAACAATTACAGCAAAACAACCCCAGATCACCACACCGCCTCCACCATGCTCGGCTGTAGCGTGATGTTTTATTGTTCTGTTTTAATGAGAAGCTGCATATAATAAAATGCACATCTTCCAAAAAGTTTCAGTTATGTCACATCAGGTTGTTTAATATTTTTCTAAAGGGTAGATGCGTTTTGGCAGAAGTCAGACGGACCTTCATCCTGTTTTTGGTCTACGGTGTTTTCGTGTGATTTATTTTGCGTAGTGCTTCTGTTTTTTTTTTTTTTGTTGAGTCATAAACACTAACCTTAACTGAGGCAATTATGAAAACATGATTTTGCGATTGTATTTGTTTAGTATTGCAAAGACATCATTCTGTTCAATTTAATTCAAGGGTAGCACATTAAACAACGTTACAATTGTTGGTTTGTACATAAATTTTCTAGGCCAGACATTTTTTAAATGGCATCAAAACTAAAATGAAAGATTTATGTCACAATTTCTGTGACTAATAATGAGAAAAACATAAAAATTTATATTATAGAAAACAAATTATGCACAATAAAGTTGGTTTATGTATATGTGAACACCATATTTGTTTTGTTTTAGCTGTTGTTTCACCTAGAAATTGATTGCAATTAACCCAAACCTTCCTCACTCTTCCTCTCTCTTTCACATCATCATGATGCTCCCTTCACTCTCTCAGTAAGCTAAACATACCACTAATGGTCGCTAAAGTCTATATTAAGTGAGGGCATTACTGAAAGTTTTCTGAAATAGCAGGATACATTATTGATTTGATGAGTCTGGATTCATTGAACTTGCTATGTAATAATAGCACAACCAATATTGTATCCAAGCAATCCTTTGAAATAATGCACTGATATTGCAGTTTAGATGTTGTGCAGTGTTCTTTTTACTTCCTGGATGAGTTGCTATACTCTCTGTATTTCAGGGGTATCTAAAAATGCTCTTGAATGGCTCTTGAACTGATTTTGTGTGGCCTACCAGCTGCAATTTAACAGTGATGCAAATTTGGGCCATTTTATGCAGATGGAGATCTTTTATAAGTGTTAAATTATTACAAACATAATTTTCTTACAATAAAAAGTGTTAAGTACAACACAAAATATTTTGATTATAACCAAGCTTTATTATATCCTAAGACGGTTGTTAATGGCTTGATGAAGAAACATTGTTGTGATAACATGCTGAAGGTGGAGTGTTAGAAAGAGTAGGAGCTTCTTAAAGAGACAGAGGTGCTAAAGTGCAAAGTCAAATTTTTTTTAAAGTTATGTTTGATATGTGCAAAATTTCTATAATGATTGAAGATAACATAGTTACTTTTTTATACTATAAAATGGCATAAGATCAGTGTTATAACTAGTTTGACTGATTTGCAGCTTCCATATTTAAATCCTGACACCTGTAAAAAAATAATAATAATAAAAAAAGAATTTCTCTTTTTCTTTATTTTTTGCAGCATGTTCATGGAAATTTAGAAGATCCCAAAACACTTACCCATCATAAACTTATACACGCTGCTACAGAAAGAGTCCTCACCGACACCAAAACTATTGCTGATGAAAACCTTAAAGACAAAGGTATGCATTGTTCGTGTGACATGTTTTTAAATTCGAGCAAACATGTCTTTATCATGTTAAAATGTATTTGAAATATATGGGTTTGTGTGTCATTTATGTCGGCAGAAGTTTTGCTGCTCATAAAGAAAAGACCGCCGCCAACCCCTCCCAAGATGGCAGATGTTAGTTCAGAAGAAAAGGTAAGCTTGATCATGTTTCTGTGGGAAATAACCCGAAAATTTTCATGTTACAAGCATTTCTTTGCTGTTTGTAACAGAAGAAACAAGATACCAAAGCTCCAGATAAAGATGCTATCCTGAAAGCTACTGCCAGCCTGTCCACACGGCACACTGAGCGCACTGTTACACAGCACAACATCAGAGATGTAAGACGAGTTAGCTTCCCTGCAGTTATACTGAAAACAATGGATGTCTGTGAACATGTTTGTGTTTTGATGTTTGTGTTGTTCCAGTTTCAAACGGAGCTTCGAAAAATCCTGGTTTCTCTTATTGAAGTTGCACAGAAGCTTCTTGCCTTGAACCCCGATGCTGTTGAACTCTTCAAAAAGGCAAACGGTAAACAGGAAAATCTAGCTATGATGAAAATGCACCGATCCTCTTTTTTCACTTCCAATACCGATACAGATGTCTGAGGTTTAGTATCAGCTAATGCTGATTTGATACAGAATAAAACAATAAAAATAAAAAAAATAATATGGAAGTAAAAACTGGATTATAAAGTCTCTGTAAGCAAAATTGCTCTTCACTAAATATTAATGATCAGAATGGAAAGTTCATTTTAATTTATTGTATGATTAATTTATTATTTTCATATTTTGACAGGCTTAGATTTTAGTTTATGTTTTTGTCATAAAATGGACACGTTATATTGATCTACGGAAGAGGATTAGAGCCACTGAAAAATAACATTATTATCTTGACTTTTCTGCCTTTGAAAACATGCCAAAGGCCCCAGTCGGCTTCTTTAATAACAAAAAATGTCTATAAACTGTAGTTTTTCTTTATCTTTTCTAAACTGTGTGTGCTGTTGCTTAAAACATCTTTATTTTTTGTGTTCTGAGATATTCTACCTTTCTTTACTTGTTTGTTTTTTGTATCAAAGCGATGTTAGATGAAGATGAGGAGGATCGTGTGGACGAAACGGCCCTCCAGCAACTCACTGAGATGGGTTTCCCTGAGAGCAGAGCCATCAAAGCGCTTAGACTCTGCCAGTAAGGCTGATGTTTAATTGTTGCCTTTATCTATTCATTTGTTAAACGGGCAGTATTATGTAAAACCAAGGTTTTTTTTAGTTATACATCACATCATAATGTACTTCCGTCATCAAAAATGAACATTGAGTTTTGCCTTGAATCTTTCATGCATGTTTGAAAAATTCTTTAATCTCCTGGGCAACCATACAGGTGTGCAAAACAACCGAACTCCACCTTTGAAGTGGAGCTCCACCCCAAGCATCTGAACTTTGGCCTCACAGATCTTGGCTCCTTCAGACCAGCCAGCGTTGATTGGCAAACACCTGGTTGAACTGCGCATCAGCTAGGCTTAATATACGAGCTCCCTCTCAGTGAAGCGTTGCTAAAACGTTGCTAAAGGGTTAATAGAGGAGCGACGCTGTGATGACTTCCTGAAGTTTCAGAAAGATCAGGAGTTTTTAAAAAGACAGAAACCCAATTTCAAAGTGTTAAATTACAAAGTCAAATTTTTTTAACTCATATTTGATTTATTACAGCATTTTTCTAAAAACTGAAGGCAATATAACTACTTGATTTTGCTATAAAATGGTGCTATGTGCCTGGAAAATTTATAATGCTGCCCCTTTAAATAAACTTAGCCTTCAGAACAGCATTATTTTTTAGCATGCATTCTGTATTTAATTATTATTATTATTTATTTTTCCTTTTTCCTTTATTTTTATGCAGCATGTCGGTGACCCAGGCCATGGAGTGGCTGATTGAACACGTAGATGACCCCACTGTGGATGCACCACTACCGGGACAAGACTCCTCTGGGGCATCAGGAGCTGCAGCAGCGACGACAACGAGCCCCTCAGCCGCTTCAGCCAACATCCTTTCCAACCTCTCAAGGCAATCGAGCTCCGACGAGAGCAGCCGGCAGGACGAACTCACAGAGATCTTCAAGAGAATACGCAGGAAAAGGGAGTTCAGGCCAGATTCCAGAGTTAGTGGTTTCATCTAGATTTAAAAATATAAGCTTGTGGCTTTTCTTCTATTTTCTTTTCTTCCCTGCTCTTTTCTTTTCTTTTCTCTTATTTAAGGCTCTGTTAATGTTTCTAACATGTATTTGTCCAATAATTACACCAAGTCTTTGATTCTCCAGGCTGTGATTGCATTGATGGAGATGGGCTTTGATGAAAAGGAGGTGATTGATGCTCTCAGAGTGAATAATAACCAACAAGATGCCGCGGTAGGTGATTATATAAACCGTGGCGTTATCACAATCAGTGTCTGCTGTTTTGCTGGAGTACCAACAATGTTATTATGCAAAGATCCCATACAAGACGAAACCTGCGCTTTTTTTTGTGTTCATATTTACATGATTATCCCTCAGTGAGAGACTAAAGAAAACAAAAAAATCAACACATGAGAACCACACTGTTCATGAAGCTTTTCATTCCTCTCTTTATTTGAATTTGTTGCTAGTTTTATAGCTAGAGCTTTGTAGTTGTTTTTAATAAAAAAATAAATAAAACATTTAAAGTTAATTGTTTTAAATGAAGATGTAGAAAATTTTAAAAAGCTATTATTTGTCCTTTTTTTCATAGGTACAGTAATTTTAAATTAGCTTTTGATAGGAAATGACATCTTCATGAAGCATTGCAAAAGTAGTTTTATTTTTACACACCTCTTCATAATCAGTGTGAAAATACTGACTGACCAGGTTTTGTCTCGTTTCCACTGGTACTTGACAATTTATTTGTTAATGAGGATGCCTTTTTGCTATCACTAATATTGAGCTGATCCCACAGATTCTATCAGATTGAATTCGGTCAACAGATAAAATTAAGACATAATTTCAAACCAAAATCTACCTTGAGTAGGAATAATGTTGGACTTGATTTTATTTCAGATTACAAATTGAGATTGGAACGATAACACATTTCTCTACTAGTTTGAAGAAATGGTTTGCATTTTACAAGTGTGTCTGTGGTTTTATTTCAACATTTACTCTTTTTATGTCATAAAAATGATGGGATTTTATTCATAGCTAATTCAGATTTTTATTACCTTGTTTTGTCAACATTTTGGGTTGTTTTATGCTCAAAATTAGTGATCAAACTCAATGTTTGTGGAAACTTTATGGATTTATTAATTGGGGGTGGGAGGTTATCTGATAAAATGTAATTTTTACATATCTGGTTTGTTTATGTGTTTTCAAATTAAAAAAATATTGGTTTAGATTTTTCTTACACACTAACACACCAGGAACTATGGTTATGTTGATTGTTTTTACTATATTATTCTCAGAGGATTGTTGTTGAGTTATTTCTGAAATAAAAGTTACCTGATCAAGATTCACAAATATTTTTAATTTGGTAATTTTGTATGTTGAAATTTGTTAAGATGTTTTGATATTTATATGTTCCAGGTCAATACAAGAAATGACGCCTCTCTTTTCTGTGTTCTTTCATTCTGCAGTGCGAGTGGCTGCTGGGAGACAGGAAACCATCTCCAGAAGATCTAGATAAAGGCATCGACACCAACAGCCCTCTGTTTCAAGCGATTCTGGAAAACCCCGTGGTCCAGTTGGGTTTAACAAATCCCAAGACTCTGCTAGGTATATTCCAGTGTGACATTGATGAAAATCCGTTATTTAGATAATGTTTGTCTTATGTGAAATTGTGTGTGACTATCCGAACCATTTAAGTGTGACCAAAATATAAAATCTGAAGGACATTTCTAGATTACAGCTGGATTTGAGGAAATGTACAGGAAGTTGCCCACTAAGCACCAACTAATAATGTGGCATCTCAGTATTTGTCATAAACCATCATTGCATTTTACACTCTACGGAAGTTCAATAACCCTGTCTTGTTTGTTTTTGTGCAGCGTTTGAAGACATGCTGGAGAATCCTCTGAACAGCACCCAGTGGATGAATGACCCCGAGACCGGCCCGGTCATGCTCCAAATATCCAGAATCTTCCAGACCCTCAATCGCACATAGAGCCTCCTGATTACCCTAGTGTGATTGTGGCAGCTTGTGTGTATGTATGATCATACCAGAAAATGTGTGTTTGGATGTGACACAAATAGAGTTTACTGGGGTTTTTTTTGTTTCTTTTTTTTCTGCCTTGTAAAGAAAAAGTCAGAGGAATTAAAAGTTTGACTTAAAATGTTACACTATTTATAACAATACAGTAAAATGCCTGTACAAAACAAAGGTTATTACCATTATTATTATTATTATTACAATGATAATATAAATTGAGATTTAATATGTTGTTTTTACATATTAATAAGAACAATTTACATATATTACAGAGATGATTTATTTTATATCATTTCTCCATGTAAAGAAATGACATCAGGCATCAATTTAATGTTTACACTTTAAAGAACAGTTTTTGTATGATTTGCAATATTTAAATATAACAGTCTTTTCTGTTTCCTTTCAAATGTTACATTTCATTATTAATGAATGTGTGGAGGAGTTCTGGTCCCGATGATGTTTGGGTTACTTCTGATGACTCCTAATGTCATCAGAAGAGCAGGTTGTTGTTCGAGTCGAGCGTTTGTGAAGCTCTTTGAAAGCGAGCTTTCAGATGCGATTCTGCTCAGACGCTTGCACGCTCATCACTGGCATGAATGTCAGAATAATCTTTTGCTTTTAATAATTTTTCCTCTATGGTTTTTAACATAATGCAGTTACTTAAAAAAACTATTTCAATCATTTATGGATTTTCTCTTGTCTAAAGAAGATCCAAATCAAAATACATATTTGTGTATTCACCACATGTTTCCTGCAGCTATAAAAGAAGCTTCTGGTGTAAGTCTGGGGAGTTTTAGCCACGTCTCTTGTCATAACTGGATGATTTCTATGTGTGTGTGTTTATTTGGTTGAATTGGTTTAGTTTGAAGACACAGCTCATTTTTTTAAGTACAATTCACACACTGTCACAAAGGGCTGTAGGACGTCCAATGCGTAATTTTGTGTTACCTGTTCCAAAACCAGTTTAAAATGACAGTTCCACAGCATAATGTGGCCACCACCATTTTTGACAGTTGTTGGTGCACTTTGGTTTGAATTTCTTTAAACATCTTTTTTTTTTGTGGCCAAACAGCTCAATCTTTGTATTATTTTACTTAACAGCGTTAAATCAGGAGACAATATGCAGGCAGTTACAAATATGTTGAGTTTGGAGAAGGGATTTCTTTCTTATTCCACACCAAAACTTCATTTACTGAAGTCCGTAAACTGTTTTTTCAGCTGTTTCTGGGGTCTGTTTTGCTCCTGATAAAGAAAACCTGATGGATTCCTTTATTTTAATGGCAACATTTTGGATTGCATGGATGAAACTTGGACTCAATTGGGTTTCCTAGCAGGATAATGATCCCAAACATTCTAAAAAAGGTTTTAAGAATATACTCAGCTGGCTAAAATGAAGATTATTTCTAAAACCCAGCCCTCAACTATGAATACAATATTTATAGTTTCATGGCTTTGCCAGAAAACAAGCAAATTTATAATAATTCAGAAGCTTGTTAATGATGGCAAAATATTTACTGTTAGTTGAGATTTGTTTATGTTTCAAACTATTTAGATTACAGAAAATAAACAATAAATTAAAACTTTTGCACAGTTGCTGGTTTTATGTTCATCCCACTGTGGAAAAGTAATGACAATCTTTAAAAGTCCAGTATTAGTAATGACATTCAGGCCAGTGATGAGTGCATGTAAACTTCTGACCGGTACTGTGTTACACATTACCTCTCCTTTGACACCCGTAAATCACTGTAAGTCATATACCTCTCACTTATTAAGAGAAAACTTCTGTCGTCTGCGAACATAAAACTTTTTCCGCCTTTTCAGAGAGACCTCGTACTCTAAGTTGTGTCGATCCTGATTTTCCAACAGTATGTTACAGTAGGCCTGTGTGTTTGTTGTCAATGTGGACTTGAATGTCACTATATCTGCGCTTCTTTAGCACTTGTTCACCTCTTGGAACACTGCTCACTGCGGCACAGACGAAGTCAAATCATGGATTGTTTGGAGTCGGACAGTAAATGAAGCTGAGCCTGTTCAAAATCTGGGGTTGGGGTTTGCCTTTTAAACCTTTAATTTGAATCGTTGAATGACAATGCGTTTGAATCACGCTGCTGGGGCACAAGCGTCTTTATAAACACAGTTTTGGTCTCCAGTTTTCTTCAGAGAGCAATGAAGACTTCATGCTGTGAACCAAACCAAAATGTTCCTGTATTTCATGCCTTGTTCCTAGTTCTACCCAGTGAAGAGGGGAGAAAATCTGTATTTCTGTGCAATAGTAAAGACTTAAAGATATGTATCTGATATGAGTAATAGTGATGTTTAAACTGAAAGGGTTAGAGTGTTTTACAATATTAGCCTTTGCATTGAGTACTCATAATCTCCAGCTAAAAGTTGGAGCTCTTTGCCTCTTGTAGTTATACTAAAAAAAAACAATATGGAGGGTAGAGTTGGTTGTTTTATTTTTATTTTTTGCCAAGCTTTTGAGTGTTTTTATTCTATATTTAAAATATAGTACTGATGTAAACTTTCTGCTCAGGGAGGCTTAGATTGTTGTCATGGCAAACCCCTGCTCAACCAATGTTAGTTTGGCTTTAGCAAGTATCTTCAGAACGCAACATCAAGACATGCAACATTTAACAAAAAAAGAAAAAAAAAGAAGAAGATATTTAAATGTTTTTGGAGAGAAGTGTCTGTTTGAACTGTGTTTTATTACATTATTTATATCAAAGCCAAACTCGTAACTTGGTCTTATTTCTAACGGTTTTAGCAAACCTCGAAGCTGCACTTCAAATGTGAAAAGAGAAATGCTTCAAAGGTTGTTTTTACGTCGTTTTAAAGATGCTCTTATTATGAAAATTGTTAGTCAAGGTGTGATTTCAAGTGGTGTTTGAACAGGGTGGGTTGATGTGTAGAGCTGCTGAGAACTGTACATTGAAAGATTCTGCTCTTACAGAAAACAAACCAAAAAAAGAAGGAACATTTCCAAACATTTATCTGAAATTTAAATGAACAAAGCAAAACGCCTTTGAGGTTACTAGCTATTTCTGCTCTGTTATGTCATGCAAGACTGTCCCACATCAACAACCTATGCAATCTATTCAGTGTCTGTTCATTCAAACAGCCACAAGGCTACTGACATCTAAATCACTCTCACATTAAAGTTAATTTGTTCTGTGGCTTTGCTCGTTGGATTCTGTTTGGAGTCGATCTATGTGGCGGCTTTGTTTTGGGGAACAATAAAGATCAGTGTTGCAAACATAATAAAGTACAAACTTAAAGTGCTGTGCCTTTCAAAATAATGTGTACCCCTTAAAATACCTATGCAGAGCACAAAGATAAAAAAAAAAAAGATGCATTGTTTTCACATTTTCTTACAGTAAAAATGTGAAAAGTGTGACCTGTGTGTATTTAGTTTGTAGCACCAGGGTTATCTGCTTTTACAGACAAATTTAAGTTTCTAGAAACCTCTAATTGATCTCTGACTTTTGTTTCATTGAGTAATAAATGTGATGTAGTTTGCTTTGCTCCATATGGCATTTAGAAGATAATCTCCAAAACTCACTATTGTCTTCTGGGACTATATGTGGAACTTTGTGCTTGCAGATGAAACTAACATTGAGCTTCTTAACAACAAATCCTCAAGGTGAGTTTAGCAAGAAACAAAGTGTTATATGAATGTTTAATGATTGGATTATTTTTATTGTGAAATTATGCTACTGGAATAAAAAAAAAGTTTTTGAAATGGTTTTGAGCATGGAAAGCCAACAAATATCCCTATATTTGAAGAAATATAGCATAGCACGGGTTTAAACTTTCTTTATCAAGTAAAAATTTGCCTTTTACTAATACCCAGTTTTATCCTTTTCAAATTGTATTAATTAAACAATGTCCATAACTAATAGCAGCATAGGGTGAAATAAAACTGTCATTATGTATATTATGCCATTATAGTGTAAAAGATGCTATATAAATGCAGTTTTTCAAAATCATAAGCAGAATTAGTGCTGTTTACTAAATCATCTCACCGGCTGAAGTGTATATACCACATTTCCCCACTAGATGTCAGCATTGACAAATGTCAATGCTGACTGTGATTCCCCCCCCCCCCCAAAATGAACACAATTTTAAGATAAAAGTTGACAGGACCTTGGTCCCCTCTCCCCAAATTTTAATATATTTATAAATATATATATATATTTGGGAAATATAAACCGAAAGTGTTCGTTATTGTCACAGTTTTACTGTTGACAGTTTGGAAAGTGATCACGCATGCGCAGCAGTCTCATTTAGAAAGGCAGGGATGAAAATTATTTCCATGGGCAGAGCGCGAACACACCGCGGGATGCGTGTGTCTCCTCTCTACCATGAAGTGTTTAATACAGAGATAGGTTTATAATCAAGAGATTACCTGCTCTTGTTTCTTTTTTTTTTTATTTCAACCAGAGAGTCTCGTCGCATTTTTACTGTTTCCGTCTGTGAGTCTGCCTCGGAGCGGTTGTCACACAGGCCGAGAATCGGATTCTGTTGCTGGGAGGAGACCACACAGACTCACCTCCCTACTAGCATTATTATTAGCTGGCTACGATGCGTGTCTGCGGCTGCTGTATTTTCTACACAGCAGACCACGTTACAACGAGGCAGGTCTTTGGCTAATTGGTTGTGTAGCCCTGCTATCCCTAAAGGGTGACTTGGAAATACGCAGCACCTTTCAAGGTAATGTTCTCTCCAGCTAACGTCATTCATGGCTCCAGTGACTGCTGGGGAAGCTGTTGTATTAGCAAGCTAACAGTTAGCTGGCATTAGTTAGCCGCTATCAATTTGCATTCTCAGCCACTTTGCCAACCCAGTTTACAGCCAATATCCATTTTCAGTTAACGGTTGTTGCTTGTAAATTAGGTCTCTGTAACACGAACATATTACTATTATGTTGTAATTTACATAGCAGCTACCCTGCTGTTTCAGCCAGCCATTATTGGGCCGTTAATAGTTTCATTGTGGTACAGCATTGCCGCAAGGATAACGCTACAGGTTATTAAACAAGGTAAGCTAATATTAGTTTAGTCCTTTTGTTGGTTTTCTTTAGGAAAAACATTTACCTTCAGCAATGAAATAATGTCTCTTAGTCACAGGTAAAGGTAACCACTTTGTTTTGAGTCCACCTGTTTATGGTTAAGATTTTTATACCTTTATATCGCTTTTAAATCAGACATTTAAACAATTTGAAGCCACGATTAAAACAAAAATTACAAGAAAATCAAACTGGCTTAGAAATTGAAACTGACATCTCTTTATTGTTGTAAACCAGAAACACAAGCATGGTGAATAAGTGAATTCACATGTGCATCTCAGCTATGCAGAAAAGACTGCACCCAACACTGTCTGCTCAGAATGCTGTATTTGAGCATATTAATGGAAAGTTGACTGGAAGGAAAAAAATTATTTTAAAAAAGTGCACTGTCTTGATGAGGCAAAAAAGGAAAAGAAAAAAAACAAGAAAATATATTTAAAACTTTTGGGGAGATTCCCAAATTGGGCTGGGTTGAATTAATTGATGCCTCTTTTTTGATGGGTTTGTTCAAGGAACTGAATTTGGGGTATTTAACAACATCTGTAAAATTTGCAAAACTATTATCTTCAGGTATAGTACTCTGTATGTAAAGTGTGTACCATAATTTTTACCTTTTTTGAGGATTAACTTTATCGATGAATAGTTCAAGCTTTTAGTTTAAACTAAAATTGTTTTCTTTGCCACCTGTCAGAATGATTTCTTAGACTTACTTTAGTCCAGATTTAAAACACAATTCTCACTATTGTCTCAAATTCAATACAGTTATCAGATATTTTCTGGGTTGATTAGTAATTTGATCCACAGATGTCTTCCACGGTAGACATGATTATATGCTACATTTTGAACTGTTTTTGGTATTTAGTGGTTTCACTTACGCCATAGTTAAATACCATGTGCGTCACAGACAGGTGTTTACTGTATAATCAATGTTTTGCCATGTGCCAAAGTGCATAAAAACAATAAAAACTTTATTTAAAGGGGAAGAAAAGTTATTTGGATTCATTGATTGTCACTTGATCTCACTTTTACTAATAGGAAATAGCATTTTGCACTGTCCTTCCTCAGCTCTGCTTCAGTTTGTCCCTCTGTCAACTTTTACCTGCATTTCATTTGTGCACTTTGCCATTTAATTGTGTATTAGTTGATTTCTCATGGCAGTTGGGTATTGTCAGAGAACTAGAAAGATAAATAATTAGAACAATACTTGGATCTCACGCCTTTTTGTTCCACCCTTTTTATATCAATTCATTCTTACAAAGTGACAAATTAAACCAAAAATAATTCCTTTAGACCACCTGCTGGTACTTGGTTTTATCTTTGAGTAAGATAACCACATTTTCTTAAGAACAATGTACGCAGACAAAAGAATATAACCTTTAATCATCAGTTGTCAAAAATAGTACAAAATGTTCAAGTGGCAAATACAAAGTTACCCGGTACAGATAAACCTAAATTGCAAAAGTACCAAATAACAAGAGTAGAAAAATAACCAACTCCTCTTTTTTCCAACATATTCAGCTTAATTTTGATGCTATATTTATTATTATTTATTTTTAAGGATGGATGTTGACTTGGGCGCCGGCGGGGACGCTACCAGAAAAAAAGTGGAGTTACCTGTGGCTGCAGACGGCACAATGGATGTAGTACCTTTGGAGATGTACGACTCTGCCAGAGCAAAAATAGCTGTAAACCTGCGGTGGCTTTTTGCCAAAGCCTATGGCATCGGTAAGTTAATTTCCAATAATCCTTCACAAACGCTCAAGATTTTTGTGTTTGAGAATTACTGGCAACTGCGTTGGCCGCTTGAAATCTGTATTTTCAGTCTGACAGACTTATCAAGTGACATATTTTACACCAGAGGGCATGAAACAAAACTGAAGTAAGTTCTAAATCGATTAATTGCCTGATAGATTAAACAAGCTTGATCATTCCCATTTTGTTTTACTGAAGACTGGATGACAAAAGTCTTCAGTTTGGTACATTGGTCTTAACTAGCCTCCTTTTTTAAATTTTGCTTACAGAGGCTTCAGTATTCATTATATTTTATTTATTTTGGATTTTTAAAATATCACTCAGTTCTTATGTAAAAAGTTTGTTTGAAATTAAAGTTTATTGATCTTTGAGAATGTGTGCATGCATTATATCACTTGCATTCAGTTTCTATGCACCACAAATCTGGAACAAACTTCTGGAAAATTGTAAAACAGCCGAAACAACGTCCTTGTAGCTGAAATGTGCTACACAAATAACATTTGATTGATCAATTGTCTTGGAAAAATGGTCCCCAAACAACATTAAATATTATCATTTATCTCAGTAATTTTTAGAATATTTTATGATCCAGCTAAATTTGTTATTGTCACAAACCTATTTATTGTCACAAACCTCATCTCAACAGTAAGTATTTTGATGTTGAAACTTAACATTCTCAACACATTCAGTCAGCAGTTTGTTTGGTGCTTCAGCAGAAACACTCAATTAAAGGAAAAGCCAGAACGAAAGCTAAAACACACATGTATTTCTAACACTAACTCCCCAATGGCAGCTGAAACCTTGCTCACTGACTCACCAGATCTTTGTGTTCTTGTTGGACGGACAATGAGATTGAACTTAAATCAGTCGGAGGGACAGTCGCTGATGCTTAATCTATATTTGTTGCACTGTGCTCAGTGGATGGAAAATACTCATCTGGATGTCGCTCACACTTCCTGTTGAGGTTGCCTGTTAGTAAGAGGACCTTTAAGTTGGATGACGTTAGTTTCACCTCAAACACACTTGAGTAGAAATCCAAGAATATTTTATTAAGGGAAGAAAAAATGTAAAGCTAATAGACAATAAGTCATAATTTGCTGAGCAGAGGACCTGGCATTCAGAACGTGGCAGATTTAATTTCAAAGTAGTTCAGGAAAAGCTCTGTGATGTTTCTTTAATCTCACAAGAATAGCCCTTTTGCAAATAACAAATTTGCTGGATTGGTATATTGTCCCAGTAATTATTGAGATAAACAATAATGTTGTCATTCTTAGACTATTTTTAATTAATATATTAATAAGTTTGCCCCTCATATCAACAAACTTTATAGAGAACGCTTAACTCCGGAACTAGAAGATATTTTAAAAATCCAAAATAAACCACCACAGCTAAAACGACAAATGGGAGTAAAAAAACAAAACAACCGAGGCCATAAATAAAACAAATTATGATGTCTCTGTAAACAAAATTACTATTCAAAAAATGTTGAGTCAGAATGGAAATTTTTGAGATCATTTTAATTTATGATGCTATTAATCATTGCTTATTGTGATAGATTTATAC